GTGCGAGTAAAGGCAAGAAAATACCGAGGGATAATAGCAACGAAAGCATACTATAGCTGCAGCAGTTACTGGGTAGGGAGAGAACTATGGAAGACAGTAGCAGTACCTGCCATAACCTATGGAAATGACATAATCATATATAAGGATAAGAAAAAGGGAACAGGCACTCTCCAAGCCCTTGAAAATACCCAATCCAGCTTGGCAGGGAACTGTTAGGTGCCCCGCCTTATACGCAGGTATTGCTTTACCTTATTACGCGCGGGTATTGAAACAATAAGGGGGGAGCTTGGATGGTCCACGTTTGAGGATAGAGAAGCGAAGAGCAAACTTAAATATTTAGGGAGATTAAATTATATGGATGAAGAGAGGAAATGCAAGGGAATAGCGGAAGCTATCGGTGCAGGAAATTTTACGTAGGATTGGAATAGACGAGTAAAATTCCTGGGGGGAAAGTATGACAAAGAACAGTTATTGATAAATAGAGACTGGGAAAACAGCGAATCATGAAACAATACAGTGGGGAAAATCATTATAAAAGGCAGCACAGTCAGATGGAGAAAGGGGATGGTAAATAAACGCACACTAGAGCTATATAAAGGGAAAACATTTCCTAAACAAGAAACCTTTTACAATAATAATAAAATCGGCAGTAAGCTGCTGTACCAATGTAGAGCGGGATGCCTCCCCGTAAATAAAAGAACCAGGAGATGGTTAGGGGAAGAAAATTGCACTCTGTGCAATAAGGGAGAACCAGAAGACCTAAAGCATTTCCTGTTAGTTTGCCCGGCATACAAACACCTAAGGAAGATCATGTGGGACAGGCTCCGAGAAGTGGGGGTCACCCTAGATACAATAATGTAACCCAACAAGAGTAGGATTTGTTCTACTACTCTAGTTGACTCTACTACTCTACTCTTGTTCTACTACTCGTTCCCCTACTCTTGTTGGGTTACATTATTGTATCTATGGTCACCCCTGCACAGCTGGAGGAAAGGCAGGTGATGCTCACCATATTGGGGCTAAATGAACATAGATGTTATGGGGATTGGGTAGAGCAGGTTAAACATTATTTAGAATTAGCCTGGAAGCTCCGGAACAAAATCTCCCGGTAAAGTGAAATTACCGGTGGGAAACTATCAAAAATAAAAAAGGAAACCCCGATCTAAAGGTTCTCGTTCATACATACGTACACAGGCGCGGCGTCACGGGGGGGGGCGGCGGTTGCCCCCCTATGATTTAAAAAAAGAGGGAAAAAGAAAGAAAGAAAGAAAAAGAAAGAAAATAAAGAGAAAAAGAAACTGGTTCGACGAGCCTGAAAGCTGTTGTTGTGCGGGGGAGGGGGAATATTCAGCCTGAATCCCAGCTCTTGCTAATTCTAATTATTAAAACCCTTTCACTGCGGGCTCAGACTGCGGGTCCCGGCCGCGTCTATTTTTGCCGTACCACTAATGCGTAACGCTGTTTTATGGTGCCTTGTGACCCTAAACCTAAGGACGTGGATATTTGTCCGAGCAAAATATACACACACAATATACACAAGTACAAACAGTCAACCTAACCCAACCCTAACCGTAACACTAACTCTAAACCGACTCGGCTATCTTATATACGCGTGGCATAGTACTCAAATTAATATAATAGTGTATAACCTTTCGTAGTGATGCGCAACGATGCTCGGACGAATATCCACGTCACTAACCCTAACCCTAATCCTAACCCTAACCCTAACCCATAGGGTTACGCGTTACGCATTAGTGCCGTTTACTAGCCGGGGGTGCTGGGGGTGCTGCAGCACCCCCTGTTTTTTTAGTTGAGTAGTGCATGTGCACGTACACGTGCGTGCGTGCGTGTGCACGTACAAGTGCGTACGGCGTGTGCACGTACACGGCTAACTACAAACTCGCTTATAACGAAAACAATGCCAAGCTATGACAAAAGAAGCGTCAAAGGCGCCGCCTAGCTGTCTGTGTGGTATGGTAATTATTTATTTATTTTTAGTTGAGTAGTAATTTTATAATGTTTTCTCAATAAAATAATGCATGCTGCGGTATGCTGGAAACACCTGCGGAAATTTCGAGTGGATCACGGCACCTCGTCAGCTCGTGTAAAGTTACGCAAAGGTTTACGTAAATTTTAGCTTGATAAATCGCACCTAAAACGGCCTCGCTTGCGTACGCGAAATCGTACGCAAATTTATTAAATAACTGCGTTGATAACGCAAAATATTTTGTGTACGCAGCTTGATGAATCATGAATCTACCCCCTGGACCCCACCGGACCCCACCCGTCAGTGCAAGCGCACACGGTATCAGATCGAGTCTACAGTTTCCAAGGGCGTGTACAGGGGGTTCAGTTAATAAAGCTATTAATTACGATAAGATCTATCTAGGTATACAAGAATCGACAAATATAACACCACGTTGGTGTACGTAGGATGCAAGGTTCAAGTTGATTTTGATTTGAGTATTAAATAAACGTATTTATACAGTGTGAATAAGATGAGAAAAAAATAAATAAATTATACTAAGTAGTAGTACATACTCATTATATGTACAGCACACGTTCATAAACATAGTTACAAAGTTCATAAATTAGAATGTACAGCATATAAACAACATCCAACAGACTTATACAATACTAGGTTATAATACTACAACTTCTACAATATTAAAGTACAGCAGACAATAAGTTCAAGGTATTTACATATATATAGTTGTAATAAGCTATTTCTAAGAAAAATATTTGAATTTTGGGAAGGGTAAACTTTTATATATACAGGAATGTGCAGATATGACGCTCCAGAGTTTAATAACACGAACTTTAACAGATTTTTTACAAGAACGCGGTTTTTATACCTTGGTAGGTGATATGACATTGATGAATTTATACAGTGTGATTCATTGTAAGATGAAAACAAATTAAAACGAAATAGTACATACACATTATAAGTACAGCACACGTTCATAAACGTAGTTACAAAGAACAATAATACAACATAATACAATACAATATTACATACATACATTACATTACAATACAATATAAACAACATAGAACAAGCACTTATACAGTATTAAAGTATAACAAACAATAACTGAAAGGCATTTACATATATAGTTGTAATAAGCTATTTCTAAAAAAGTATTTGAATTTTGGGAAGGGTAAACTTTTCATATATACAGGTATGTCGCTCCAGAGTTTAACACCTACGAATTTTAATGATTTTTTACCAAGAACGGTATTGTACCTTGGTAGGTGATACGACATTGATGTTGCAAGTCTGGTGAGGTGTGAGTGTACATGAGAGATTCTGATGAAGTAGTTACGAAATAGATCCGGTAGCTCATTGTGGGCACTATACTTATACATGAATTTAGCTAGCTCAAG